AACATATATCTCAAAAAAAAAAAAAAAAAGGTATGCAAAGCTTTAAATCTGTAAAGACTGGTTCAGTATTTTGAAACGTTCGAGTTTGTGTGCAGCCGCCCCTTTGGTACCACCTCGGAAGGCTGGTGGTGGCAGCTTAGCTCACTGCCCTCCGGGAGTAAATACTTTACTCGCTGCTGTTTCATACAAGCTGCGCTTACAGGGGAAGGTATCTTATGTTCTGCATCCCTGAATGGACACACAGGGGTTGTGTAGCTTGTTTTTTTCCCCCAGAGTGAGAGTTCCCAGGTGCATCCCACCATCCTTGGCCTGGCTCTTGCGCAAACACAGCGATTCACTGAGGCAGCAGCTGTGTGGTTGGTGGGAGTCTCTGGGCTTCAGGGGGTACCACGTCTAGGTTAGCACTCAGCAGCTCTTCTGTCTGTAATAAAATGTCCCCGGAAACTTGTGCCCAAACTCATCCTTTCTGTGGAGCTTGGAGTGAGTTCCTTCAGACTCTCAGAAACTAGAAACTATTAACACAGTAAAGCTGGTATTTGTGTGGCAGATTTGGGGGCTTCCATGCAGATGGGACAGATGAATATTCACCACTGCCTGCTTGCATGTGATTTCCTTTGTTATAAGCAATAAACAATACAGAAATTTCTTTTTCAGTTGTCTTGTAGAAGGTAGTGAAAACAGGGAGGTACTACAGAACACAGATATACTGCTGGGCAGGCAGTAAATGCTGCATAAAAGGTTAGGGTTTTGGTTTTTTTTTAGTTTTTAGGGGTTTTTCAGATTTTCATTTTTTAAAATATCAAGTATCGATAAACATTTAATAATTACTGCTACAATAATGTAGGAAACAATAAAAGTAATGATCTCTGACCTCTATCAATATTTTTCCTCCCTTACGGTGCACTTGGTGTGACCAGTCCTGACCAGTTTGCTGGATGCTGCTCAGGGTGTGCTGTTCTCTACCTGTGTAAATGGCACTTGCTGTCAGTGTTCAGCATGGCCGAAATCCAGGTGAGAGATCTGAGCCCTAATCCTGCAAACCCTTCCTTGCATGAGGTGTCTCATTTGTTTTGGGTAAACAAACCTAGGTAAGACTTGTTCACTAGAACCTATACCAGCGTATGGAGTTAGGGGTTTTTCAGTACTAGTAATGTTTGCTGACATGGAACAAGCTGCTGTTGTTTCAAATGGGAGTAGTACTAGGCCCTGACCTAGGGGCAGGAAGGTTCACGTCCAGCTAATCCTGGCTGCTAGAAGCTTATTTTTAGTTCAGAATTAGCTGAGGTTCAGCATGAGCAGTGTGAGGGAATACAGACCGGTTCATAGTGCCTCTTTCAGGGAACAGCTTCAAATGATATGGGAAAGAAACAAGTGGTAAGTTTGTGGATCCTTGAGTCTTACTAGTCTTACAGCTTTTTTATTTCTAATATCAACTGAATCTTTGGTCATGGGAAATTTTACTCTTTCAATGTAATTATATAACACAAAATCTGAAGGTAAACTGCTTTCCTTTTTCTAGATGAGAATAAGTGAAAGAGCTCAGTTTCAGGTTTTTAATAGGAGATGCTTATTTTTAGATTTTAGTTATGTTCGACCTGCTGGTATTTTCAAAATTATGTTAAAATCAATATTTTCTCATATTTAAAAGTCTTTTTTATAAATAAGCTTATTTTCTTTCATTGATTTTACTATTGTTCTGAATTTACAACTTCGTTAATACAAAATACTCGGCTCACGCTGTATACTGTGTAAGTATATTGAATACATACATTGTTACAGTATTTTGATATTTAAATAGAACGACTGATAAGCTTTCCAATGAAAGCAGTACCTTACATGAAAAGTTAAAATTATTCAAGTGAAGTTGAAATGCAAGTTGCAACACAGCTGTTAGGTGCATGTCCCTAATGCAGTGCCCATCAGAACTCTGATAAAAGCATGTTATTACTGCATTTTTTTACATATTACTTTTATGTAACATCTCCATTAGGAGTCTCTAGCTATTTAAGAGGCATATGAAGCAAAACATGAGAGGTGGTCTCACACTGACAGAAGTTGACTTTTGTCTCTCCCTTGTCTTTCAGTGCCCACCTCGTGCCCTCCCTCCAGTGCCAAGGTAAAATCAGTTCATTCTGTGGAACTGATCATGGTTCTGTACTTCAGTGTTTTTAAAAGTAATAAGATAATTAAAAAAAAAAAAAAGGCAAACATTTGAGTAGTTACAACCGCTTTAAAAATAATTGCTTTTCTTGCTAATTTGGTGGCCCAGAAGCCCTTACAAGGAATACAAAGCATTTTAAAGTTTTACAGAGGCTGAGAAATTTTGCTGTATTACCTCTGTTTTAATACTTCCAGAGATAAACCCTTTAAAAAGTTTCAGATAAATAGCTACTTCAGTTTTATTAATATCTACTTTCGTTTTATTGATGCCCTTCTTTACAATCTCTTCTTCCCTTATTGTTTCTTTTTTTTTTAGTTTATTTGAATCACAAATCCTTCAGAAAAAGAATTTCTGAAATTAGACTAGATATTCTTAAATAGGGGTATAGGTGTCTACTAGTTTGAAAAAATTGGGCATTTTTTTCAGTGTGGCAGGAAAGGCAATTATATAGTTTCTATGACATGGTACTTCAGAATTCCTTCGAATTACCTAAAAGCAAATGCAATGTTTGTGACTGACAACATATAAAGATGCTGTCTTTTTAGAAATGTAAGCGCTCAAATGTTTCATAACTTTTGTTGATTTGTTACATATCAGGCAGTAAGACAAGTTTTAATTAGCCAAGTGATTAAAGCTTTTAATCTGATCCACAGCTATCCAATCAAGAAACTGTGCATAGTCACGAACAAAGTGTGGAGTCTTGCTTCATACCCTTAACCCTGTTGTACACAACTCCTCATAGAAAGAACTAGGAATGGGGATAAGGAAATGAACCATAAAAGCAGCAGTGTGAATTTTACTGTTGTGAATTGTAATCCATTCAAAATTAACTTTCTTCTCATCTTCTCTTTACGCTGCTCTTCAACACCTTTTCTCCTTAAATGTGAAGTGGAAACCAAGGTAAGTTATTCTGGCATTAAAGAGAACGATAACCATTGATAGTTCCTTCTGGTGCCATTTCATCCTCTCTTTAAAGATAAAGCCTTATACTTTTCCTAAATGTAGGCTGATTATTTAAACTGCATGGATACCTGCACTGCCATTACTAGAACTGTGTTATTTTTCTTCTCTTTGCTGTTTCCGTACTGAATCAAGGTAACTGAAATGTGGTCACTGTGCTCTAAACAAGAAGTTTATTCTTCAGAGCATTATTCAGAGTATTTCAGTTTTTCTCTTAACACATGTGCATGTGTGTATTTAGCCTGTTTTGCACTTAAGACAGATTTCTTATCCTGTTTTCCTGCCATCTTCTGTACTCATCTTGCTTGTGTGAACTGGTGATTTGTCATCTTATCTGTAAAAGGTGAAGGATGTCTTCGCTTGTAAAAAGGAATCCCTTTCTTAACTAGCAATAGAATGGCTGTTAAAAAAAGGAAATGGAGGTTTCTCCATGCTGTGCACACATACTTCTGGTTTATGCTCTGCAGATGAAATTCCACTCAGTCGTCCCAAAAAAAGGAAACCCAAAGGAAAGACTTCATTAGGTAAGGTCCTTCCAAGACTGAAAACTGTGTTTGTAATCCTGGGTGAGAACTGCACTGTAGCCAAGCTCCTGACAGATACACAGTTTTCAGTCTTGTACTCTTATTTTTGAGTTGTGTTCTTGGCTAATGTATTACATTTATTTTAATTTGAACGACTGCAATCTTTTTCCCCAAAGTGGTGTCATTTTAGAACAAGCCTGTAATGCTAGCTGAAGTAACTTGTTCCATCCTCTGCTCTTTCTCCCTAGATCCATTCCCAGTGCTGCTAATACAGCATGTCTTGATACTGAACTGAAAAAGTTCCTTTATTCCTGCTATTTTTTCCTTTCTAAAATTTTTGGATACTTCATTAAATAGTAATTTCTAAATGTAAGCTGCTTGTTATGTTGAATATGTTAAGTGCTTGAACTTTTGAATGAACTAAGATAAAACTCATTGAACAAATTGGCTCAGTCTCAGTCCTTGGCCAAATAAAGTCACAAGTTAATGATTCCTTTATCATCATAGAGTCAAGAGCCTAAAAGATGACAAGCGCCAGAGCCTTGTATTTTTACAATAAGCAAATCTGCAGAACAAACATATCATTTTAAGCAAGATTACAAGTCTGATCTATTTTGACAGAGCAGAATATGTTGCTAGAATCTAGTGTATTTCTGTAAACCAGTTGGCTTGGGTCCATATAATAGCTTGATGAGTAAACCTCCTTTATTTGCTTAAAAGTGTACAGTTGAGATCTCAGTGAAAGACCTTTAAATGCAACAAGTAGAGCTGTTGCTAGCAGGGTTTCCCAAGGATGGAGTTTTGTTTACTGTTGTTCTCAGTGAGCTGAATGATGCTGCAAAGTATGCCTTGGCTTTGGCTACCACTTTGCTGGTTAATTTTGCATTTTAGCACAGCAAAACTTGAAAAAGGTGGGAAAACCTCTGCTTGAAGTGAAATGAAAGTTACATTCAGTTGTAATCATAAAAACTCCAGTACTTGAAAGAGCTATAAAAAGGCAGATGTGAAGTAAAATGGAGAAGTAACTTTGTCTTTCTACTACTTACACAAATTGATGCTACTGCTGCTGGAATATTTGGTGAATTCATGTTAACCTCTCATGGAAATGTAGTTCCTCCAAAGCATAGTAATTCATCTCTCAGACTGGAGTCAACACCCTTCAGTGTTGTTTTTTTCTGGTCCTCCTTTATTCTTGTGGTGTATCTTTAGTATTTAAATTTCCCTTTGATATGATGCTATTTTGCCTTAGCACGTATCTGTGTGAATCAGCTTGTAACAAACTGTTAATTTTTTCTTGTCCCTTGCATCATAATCTTTGCATGTAGAAAGGAAAAATACAGAGGTATAGTTCTTTCCTATGGTCGATTTCTTTCAATCAGTCCTCTGTTATATGCCCAAATGGGAACTGTGCTACCTGGATACTTAAATTTCCTCCTGGGCGTGAAACTGTCAGGGTGAAAGGAGGGTTGTCAGCTGTCATCTTTGTGTATTCTTACTTACCGCATTTGTTCCCCAACTCTTATATTTCCTAGACAATAAATTTTCATCTGAGCTGTAAGCTAGACAAATACAGATGTTGTGCACAGTGTAGGAAAAGGCAGCTTTTTCTTGCCTGTTTCTCAGCGGCCCTGAGTTAAGGTTGCTGGATCTTTTAATCTGGTTTTTAGATGGCATTGTCCAAGCAGCGGTTCGTCGGCAGTCTGAAAGCAGTGAGCCCCTAACTCCTGAACCTCATGATGGTCCTCCTCAGAGAAAACGCAAGAAGAAGAAAGTACCTACAGGTATGTGAAATAACTGTAGACTGGAAAGAACACTGAAAAAAACTCAGTAACGCAGAACTGTGGCCAACTTGCATTTTGGCTTAAAACGCTTCATGTGCTTTTGTACTTATAACAGCTGAAAGTAATCTCTGAGTGAATGGTAGCTTAGAGTTTCAGTTCTTGATTTCAGATTCCATAGGATACAAACCCTCATGCAAATAATAGCAATACAGTTTTGGAAGTGGTAAAATAGAGCCTTTATATCATTCAAAGCTCAGAAGATCATAACTTTTTTGCCACTGTTTATATAATAACTATTTATGCATTTAAGTGAATGTATCTCCAATTTTATGAAAGCTGTGAAACTTTCATGTGGTTTATTTTAAATCTTCAGATTCTGAAACCTCTTTTACCCAGCAAAATGTTGCATCCCTGTTTCAGAATGGAAATGGCATGGATGTCCCTGAAGCTGAAGAAACAGTGATCCGTAAACAGAGAAAAAGAACAAAGTGAGACAAAACTAGTATAGCTCACAATTTGTAATAACTGTGATAGTGAATGTGGCTGAGTACTATTTTACATTGTCATGTTACAAAGATGTAAAATCTTGAAGCTCACAATACCATTCAGCCTGTGCAATAAATAGTCTGTGTGCAGTTCTTTCCAGGGTTAAGATCTAGCTTTCTTCACCTGTTTGTTTTATGCATACCTGGATGCATTACAGTTCTGAAAATATTTACATGAGCCTAATATTTCAGTCCCATACATGAAAAAATTAGAATGTAAGTGCTTTATTTCATTCTTGCTATCTTTTTCTTAATTTTATGAGAAACTTAACTGCTTTCTCATCCTTTTTATTTGCCTTCTCTCCAAGAACTATGCCTTTAAATCACTGTAGTTGCCTGTCTACCAAGAGCATCTACTTTCTTGGCCTTTTATTTAGTTTGTGTGGTTTTTTTCTAATTGTTAATTTCTTGATATGTATTTCTTCTGGCCTTATCCTTTTGAAACAGGAAGGAATTTAAATACAGAGAAAAACCCCAAAATCAAGAATTAGCTTTATGGTTTTCATTAAGGACTAACTCCATGAAAACTTTAGTCTTTAAAATTATAAATGGGGGCAATATTATACAGGTCAGTAGCCTGATTGGTTCTTACAGTCAAGTTACAGACATGTGAAATGTTCATAGGGGCCGTCAGGTTTTACATTGCACTTTCTATTCATTCTCTGCCCCATTGTATGTTCTGTGCTGATAGAAAACCTCGGCCAGCCGAAATGCACTGTTCCAATGAGCTGGAAGTGGAGGAAGAAGACATCATTGAAGATGAGCACAGAAAGAGCCCGGATCAGCAGCCTGTGTTTGCTGCTCCCACTGGAATTAGCCAGCCTGTTAGCAAAGTGTTTGTTGAAAAAAATCGTAAGTACATCTTGTGATTTAAGTAACTTAAGGACATTCTTGCAATTAAAGGAAGCATTATTATATGTAAAATCCAAATAGTGAAGTATTGGGATGAATTTGTTAAAAAGTTTTCCAGAACAAAACTTACGTGGAAATAAATACACATGATGATTATTCAATGGTGAATATTAGTCTTGCTGTGCTGGCATGTTTGGCTGAATTTTTTAATAGGGTGAAAAATGCTATTTGGTAGTATCCAGCTGAGCTTATTTGACTCAATACCGTCACAGTACCTTAAGAAGAAAGTATAATTTACTATATTGCAAAAATTATTTCAAGTGGAAGTTTTTTGGGTTTGGAGTTTTATGTGTGTTTTGTTTTTGGTTTTTTGGTGGTGGTTTTTTTTTTTTTTTTTGTATTGCCGAACACCAAGTAATTACCTGAAGCACATTGCACATTCTTAAATCCATAGCCTAACACATCAGGGTGCATCACACTGACAGAATATAAGCTGACAAAGGGCAGGAAGTGGGGAGAATAAATTTTTTGATGGAACTTGACACTTACAGCTTTTTAACACTGATAAGTATTAATGTAGAAATTATGATGGAAGGCAACACTACTCTCTAAATCAAATTTCCTCATCCTTTCAGGGCGTTTTCAGACAGCTGACCGTGCAGAATTGATTAAAACCACTGAAAATATCAATGTACTTATGGATGTGAAGGCTTTGTGGACTACCAGAGATGTTGCCCTTTCAGTGCACCGAGGTTTCAGGTGAAAAATAAATGTTGTAAAAAAATAAATAATGTAAATAAGCAGAAATCAGTGTTGGTTTTTTTTTTATTTCTTCATGAAAGTTAGCACCCTTTTTCTATCATTGTGATGTATCTTTATTTCTTTTGGATATTCCTAATAAATGGTGGCTCAGGATGCAACAGGTATAAAGTTTCTCAGTCCTCTAGCTTTTGGTATTTGTTGTTAAGAATATCTAGTCTAGACATCACATGTGAAATGCAACTTACTAAGGAAGTCATATTGCAAAGACTCAGACAAAATCTGAATAGCAAGAGATTGATCTCATAACAAAAATACTAAAGACCTACAGAAAAAATGTGTTACAAAATTAGATGCACCCATCAGCTATAATATGGCTGGAATAAAAATACCTAAATTCAGATAGTTCTCAAAGAAAAATCCTGAGAGTGTGGCAAGTGAGAGTATTTTATTCTGGTAGCAGTAATTAAGTGAAGAAGGCAAAACCAGGCAAACATCTCTGTTTTCTTTATTGAGTGCTCAGGTACTGGTGCAATCTGTCAAGGGAGCAAGCAGAAGTCCTGTTGCTTAGAATTTTTAAAACTAGATCAGAAAAAGCACTCAGAAACAATCTGTGAAAAGCTGGGATCCTGTGACAGCAGCAGGGTTGAACAGATGGATTCACAGGCCATTTCTTTCTGTAGTTCTTCACTAATGCAAGGTGTTAAGCTTGTCTAATGTTCTTTTCTCCATTCAGAGTGATTGGACTCTTTACCCATGGCTTCCTTGCTGGGTATGCCGTATGGAACATCGTTGTTATCTACATTTTGGCAGGAAATCAGCTTTCCATGGTTTCTAACCTGCTCCAGCAGTATAAAACACTAGCATACCCTGCTCAAAGTTTGTTCTATTTGTTGCTGTCTATCAGTACAGTCTCAGCCTTTGACAGGTAAAATATGCTTGTATTTGAAAGGTGTACATAATTTGCATGCAATATGTTCCTTTCTCCTTCTTCTGGCATGTTTTGATCTGCTGTTGATGATTTAATGTGATACAATGTGATATAAGAATTTTTTACATATAGCTGGCTATACAGATAAAGGGTGTACGTGCATTCAGACCTTGTTACTCATTTCTGTCCATTGCCTACAGCCTTGCTTCAATGTGCTTGTGCTGTTTGTGTGATCATGAGGAGAACCAGACCAGGGAGCTAAC